GACAAACCTTCAGCATCACAAAAGGTAATGTCAGCAATTCCTTCATCTTGATTGTACTGAATGTCCTCTATCTCTCCCCCTCCTGATCGACGTTTATTCTCAAAGAAATTCAGCAAAGCATCTTTGGTTGTTTTGGGTGAAATACCCTTAACGCAAACAACACGTGATCTTTCCTCTGTTTCTGGCTCTTGTGATGATTTATTCGTGATCTTCTTGGGTGTGTTAGGCTTTATTCTTGTTACTGTTAATGACTGGCCATCTAAGTTGTGTTTACCCCATTCGAGTACTCTTGTAGCAACTTTTCAGCAAAAGAAAAACAAACAATACTGGTTTAAGGAATTATAGACCCAACCTCAAAAGTAAAACAAAATCACGACAGTCGAAAAACCACTGCAGCCTTCTTTGTAACCTCTCCATTGGGCCCATTGTTTGGAATTACGTCAATTCTTCTATGTTAAAGAATCGCATTTTTAAACAATCAAGATAAGCACTTACTTTCATGGGATTCAAAAGTAACCGTAGCTTGATTTCCATCCAACGTGATATCTTTCACATCTCCGCCGCTTGATCGTCGTTTGTTCTCAAAATAATTGTGCAAGGCGTCTTTCGTAGTTTTTTCTGAAATACCTCGAACCAAAACACTCAATGCCTGCAAACATGAATTGACATTATTGTTATATATATATATTATATTAATCTCGTAAAATAGGTACATTTCCAATTATTTTCTTGGACAGTTAGGAATAAAATGAGGATATATCTTAATAGTTGGTATTAGGACTCCATATTTTCCAATTAAATTATTTGGACTCGAAAAATTCCTCTGACTGCCAAATAGGACTCGGCGTACGGCCTCGTCCAATTTTGGGACTGATTCTTGGGAAATTTCCTTCAATTGTTTCTTGATTGGACAGCATGGAGTCCTATCACATGTAATAATTCAATCATTTTCTAAGTATAAAATAAACGCGACTTTATATGCCATGCACATACCCAGTCGCTATCACCAGACATTTCTATTTTTCTATCGCTTGACATTTCGACAGTCAATCTGCACCCTTTCAACTTGTGCTTCCTTGTAGTAACACTTCTGGCAACTAGACAAGATACAATTGTCGCTATTCTAGCTTTATTTTATCACTTCAGTATTCTTTTTGTGTGTGAAGATAGACAAAGTAATATGTTATTTAATAATTGAGTATTGTAGTATTTAAGTGTCAAAAAAAAAACCCGATGATTTCCACATAATTTGTTTTGACTGATGATGTCATGCACTATGTCACAACAGAATAAGGGAATTTTCCCTAATTAAAGTTTTACTTTCAATTTCGTTTTTGAGACGAGAGATATTCGTATCATAGAACTTAAAGTAGTTTTGAAATGATCGAAAGATGGGTTCTAAAGCTGCAGTAAAAATAAATGTGCACAATTTTGGAAATTGATAGTAAAATAAACCATAGTTTAACCGTCTGAAAAATGGACTGGCATAATCAAATACTTCAGAACCGGAAATGAAGTATTTTTCGATTGAAAAAGCCCATAAGTAAAAACGTTATTTTAGTTTTTTGAGTTCTTTGGATTAATAAATAAGTAATTTTAACATTGTAAGATTATTTGCTGTGTGAAATATGATGTTTACGATGATCGCTGGACGAGGTTTTTGTTTTACCTTCATCGTCAGTAAAGGTAATCTTCGCTTCTCCAGTGTCACGTCGGTATTCAATGCTCTCTATATCACCGCCATTCGACTTTTTCTTACTTTGAAAGTAAATTTGTAAGTCTTCCTCGTTGATTTCTTCGTGRATCCCTGTTACAAAGACAGTTCTATCCCACATACTAGTCCGCAAGGCTGTATTCTAGAATGCACGCTTCATGGACTTCTTGGAAGTGGCCTACCGAGAATTATTGCATTACATWTCCCAAGATCCTTTGGGTAATTCCCAGAACTTCGATGTAATGTGCATATTAAGTGGGGTTATATCCCCTATTAATTTTAGAGGGCTCTCCTATGGTCATTGCATTCGATACRATTTTGGAATCTCGCATATGTAGACGTCGAGCGATTCATGCGTGACAGACGATCCTCATCACGACCTTGGCTTGTGCGCTGGTATGAGATGTTTAATTTTAAGACCATGCTCTATTAGCAGACGGAAGTAAGAGCGAGACATTTGTCACGCTTTAGCAGTCTTATACTAYCTGTACGAACTTTTCATTTCTCTCGCTATTTTTTCGCGAATTTTATCGGAGTTTATATTTTAGAGACTTCTCTTTTAAAACTCCCCTAGGGTTTTCTTGTTTTCAGCCATATCTCAGTCTTTTCTGTTTGTCAAACAATAGTTTTTGGTACTCAGTTGGGTTAGTTTGGAGACACATTCTATTGCCAAAACCTTCAAAAGACATTTCCATGTTCCATGAACAAATTCATAATCGGCATTTTCAATTAAAACTACTATTTTCACATAGTCGGGTAAAATGCAAACAAATTCGTCGATTGTATTTGATCAGCTTTGTTCGTTTTTCATGTCTTATTTTGTTTATTGTCGTCAGGAGCTGCCAGGTGAACCCTAATTTTGGGGATTAAAAAGAATATAACGGCGTGCCCATTATCTTATATAAAACAAGATATTGACATGAAAGTTTTGACAATGCTGTCACAGCATTGATTGAAGTATGTAAATTTCTAGTGATGAATGACAAGTCAACTGGTTATCATTGCATTGCATCAAGTCAAGTTGCACATATATCGAAGMATTAACATTAACATAACGGATAACCACTGTTCTCAGGCTGCGGCCTGTRTAGTCCTATATTCATACTGTCACAGACAGCAAAAGACTTACATCGTAATTTCCGGTTCAATATAACTTTCATTTTCTCTCACGACTAAGTTGTTTTCATTTTTTTCATCAAGTTCTATATTTCATTTCGGAAGTTGTTTCTAACTGCAACGTACGCCAAGAAACGGCCCTTATGATGACAAACACAACCAACAACCAGACGTTCTTCAGTGAAGATCGTGAACAATGGAGATTTCCTAACCTTACGGTTTCAGCGTCTCTGAACATCACTTTCTCAATTTGGACTTTAGTTGGTAATGGCCTTGTTTGTGCAGCATATTACAAGTACCAGTATTTACGTACTCCATCCAACGCGTTACTCGTTAGTATGGCCTACTGCAGCTTATTAATGGTTGTAAGTGCTGTGTTGATGTTAGTGGGTGATGTGAGTTTCCCTGATGGTAGCTTCTCCATATGTACTGCCTCTGGATCTTTGGGTCTTATAGTGAACAGCATTCTGTTGTACCATCTTTGTGCGATTAGTGTTTATAGGTTACTAGCCGTGAAGTTTTCGCTGAGATKCCATGCTATAATAACCTATACTAGAGTACGACGTRCTTTACTGGTCATGTGGTTGTTGGGAATTMTGGATACTGCGTTCATAATTGTTGTWATTTTCGAGTCTGATTTGRTAGCATACATGAGGGTAAAACGGCACACTTGTCAGTCCTACTGGAGTGTCGCTGCAAGAAAAGTCTGTAGTAATCAAATTGCTAGAATTTTCAGTATATTTTCAATAATCGTGTTCAACATCATTCCATTTTGCGTTATAATTTCTTGCTACTTTTACATATGGAGGCAGTCGTGTAGACACAGTAAAAACATCGAAACACAACGAAAGGCTGTGGACTCACAAAAGACGAATGTTTATACAGAACACCTGCGATCTACCAAGACATTCGCATTGGTTATAGGTGCATTTGTAGTGAGTTACTTTCCAATTCTTTTCGTTGTATGCCTGGAGATTATTTTCCAATTTCATGTTAACAGTAAAGTTCTGGCAGCATTTGCTTATCTKTGTGAAAGTAGTTCATTGTGGAGTCCACTCATTTACGCTTGGAGAGATACAAAATTTAGGAAAGCTTTTAAAATGATCGGCCAAGTAATATGCAATCGGAATGATATGAAGTCAGCACGGACACTGAAAACCAAAAACRGGCATTCATCRCAGTGCTMAACGTTTTGTTGAATGCTTGCTGTTTAACTTAAGATTATAATTTATTTATAAGTTCCAAACGACAAGTAAAAACGGCAGTAAATAGAAAAAATAGGAACTTTCCATAAGACAGGAAGGTAACACAAGTAGAGCTTGTTATGTCTCTTTGATTTTGTTTGTTGTAATGATGTGACTTCCGATGTTGTATACACACAAGGGCTGATCCGGAGGGGGAGGGGGAGGGGATATTAGTGTTCGGCCACTGTTCAGGAATAGTTTACACATAAGAAATATGATAAGATTATTTTCAGCTTGGTGAATGCCACTATCTAAATAAACTAATTTTATTAAAAAATAAATTCTTTAAGATCACAAAAGTGCAGACGAAAGAGTTTAAAATGAAATAATAGGTATGTCTGTCATGTAGAATACTTAAGGTCGACATAAACGGAACCAAYCACATATTATTAAAGCGTGCAAGCCGGTTGTTGCAAGCATCAATTYCATGAAAGAGAAAGTATAATACAGTCAAGGCGTTTTAACACTTTAAAAACACTTTAAAAAGTGTTAATCTCCTGAGATGCAGCGAGAGTAGAACACTATGGGTGTGGTCACCGTGCAATACTTACAATGTTCGAGTACAAGGTATTTGCCCTATCATAGCAGTGAAGATAATATTATACTATAGTCTTGTAAAAAATAGGTTATATAATRCTATAATTGTCGATATATGCCGACTCGTTGTGTATCACGTTCCATAATATMRGTGTATGSTTTTGGGTGTRGTCATCAYGATATATCGGTCTTTTAMGATGCTRCTAGATCCCCGGTACACCGACATTTTTCTTTCTCGTTTCTCAACTTGCGTAGTTCCTAGTAAAAGAGAAAAACATTTTCAACAAAACAGCCTTTTTATTGCGTAAAAACATTTGTTTGGTGAATACAATAATATCTCGTTATCACATTATTTCCTCTATTACTTTACCTCCCTAAAAGCCTGTACRTGGGGTATAGGCCATCAATCTAAACGCTTATTTTTAGCAATACGCTACTTGCCGTACGTCTCTCTCACCTTTTGGAGCTCATTATTTTCACGTTTGATTGCCAGTAAGTAGTTAATCTTTTGTTGTTGATTCTGATGGCCACTCTTYTTTGCGTTTTCTTCTTCCAGTTTACGTATCGTCTGTTAAAAAAAAACATCGTTACTTCTAGGAGTTAAAGAAGCGTAGAATGTCAGCTCTTATGTTGGGAACAGTTACACACTGAAACCATCCTTAAATAAGGAGCTAGGGAGCTTTGTTTATTCAAATGATCCCTATTGGACCTATTGTTCATTGTAATTTTTGCTCTGGGAAATCATTAATTTAGTACTGAATAAGTCGAAATATAACCTCCTTCTTGCTACCCATTATTGATTGATTATCAGTCAAAATGAGATTACTCGCACTATYATTTATCTTATCAGATAGAGATCACGGTCTATACCATCGCAAACTCGCAAATTCTATGGTAATTTTATTCTTTCATGGTTTCAGTCTCGTATTTACCCATACATTGTGCATTTAATATATCCAGAAAAATCACTTCCATCTTTCATAAATTCATTTATTTTGTTAAGACATACTTTGTTATTAAAACACACTCTATTCATACTTGKTAAATTAAGTATTTATATAAGGACCGTTATAATACATTTCAAAGTAAACTATCTGTCAAACGAAGAATAAACTTTGAGGCAGCCATGTAAACACTCACTTACCGTCTCCAATTTCAGCTTTTCCTCCATTAATCGCTCGCACTTCGATTTCATCTCTTCTTTCTCGTTGAACATCTGAGTTTCAGACTTTTGTGTCCTGTAKAAAAATCATACTTATTTATCAATCTAATTGKTGAATGAGTTGCGAAAGGTAAGGAGCGCCGGAAACAAAGGAAGACGAAGACTTTTGTTTTGAATGAGAGTGAAAGAAAAAGAAGACCAGCAAAGAAAAACAACGTGTTATAGATAGAGAAATGATTTATGGAGAGGATGTAAAAACGCCTGAAAAATAAACTGTGAATGTATGGGTTGACACGCAACTCCACAACTAAGATTTACCTTTCTAACTCTTCAATCAGTTCATCGGCGTTTTCTTCAGCCATGTCCTTGTTCAAGTTAGCAACCTGTAGCCTGTTAAAAAATAGAATAGATTGTTTTGATCTGAATTAACAGTGATCCTGATAACGAGTTAACTGTATTGTATTGTTTAAGTAAATTGTGCTGTTTCTCTGATAATATTGTTCACYTGTGAGAACCAATGAGCAATAATAATATTTAATAATAATTGTCCTAAAAACAACTTACTTTTCTTCAAGGTCCTGACAACTATTACGTAATTTCTCCTACGAATAAAAATATAGAATACATGTACTATAAAATAATCAATCATTAGAATCATCAACATTACTAAGTATCATCATTATTATCAGAAAACCATTTAGACATCGTAAGGGTGACCAAGTACGATCAAGTACGTTTTCATCTCGATGACAGTCTCAGAARACATGAAAACATGATGTACTCGAACTTACAAGTTCCTGGTTCATCTCATCRTTCTTTGTCATRGTTTCTTGGAGCGAAGACGACAGTTTTCTYATYTCATTTGTGTGYRTTGAATGTCTGGAAACAATTATAGTATAGTGTGAGAATAGACAAGTAATTATATTTTTGAAGAAAAGAAACAGCAAAATGAAAGTGAATTGAAAGAGTAGAGTAGAAAAAAAGAGATGAAAAGGAAGTGAAGGCAAGTACTACTGTGTATCAAACCTGTCTGTCTTGTTTTCTAATTCAGCTTCAAGTTGTTCCTTCAAAGTTCTGTTACTGGTTTCCAACRTTTCTTTTTCGTTTCGTATTTGTTCAAGTTTTTGTCGCATTAATGCAAGTTCTTCATTTTTCTCTTGTCGACCGGCTTCAAGACTATCAATAGCACGAGTGAGTTTGACCTGAAACAAAGAAGAGGACATTCAGATGTCAAATGACATGCTTGCACATTCAGAACATATATTGATAACATCAACAACAGTGCATACAGCCTTTTGCAAAAATTATGAGAATGGTCTAAATATCTAAATATCATAATATTCATATCCATATATTGTCCGGAACACGCGGGTTTGCTAGAATAATTCATTGTTGACATCGAGAAAATGTTCAGAACTACGGATAAGTCTGTCGCCAAAAAAAAACTAAACTACAAAGACAAGGGACTAAGGTCATTGCGCAGGATTACCCATCATGCACTCGATATTATGATATTTAGATATTTCAACAATTCTCATAATTTTTGCAAAAGGCTGTATCATGAGAAAGTCATTCAATTAACCAATCAATATTGTGTTTTAAATGACTGTCAAAAACCATCACCAATCAACCTAACCTGTCAACCAACCATCAGTCAATCAGCAAACCCACGAATAAATCATCATCACACCAACCCACCAGAAAAATAAAGTACTTTCCCTTTTTTCACCATTGCTATTGTCACCACCTCCAGGCATCATTACCACCATCAATACCACCAAGTCTACACCACTTCCTGGTCTAATTCAAGTTGGTCCTGTACAGCGGATTTGCCATGTCTACATATTACACACCTGTGTTGTTTTATAATGCTCCAGTTCTGTAGACTGTGACTCTATCATTACAATGGAATTGTTRCCAGATTCAGCAAGGTGGTGCAGCTCAGCAATACGAGCTTCGTACTTGGACTCTGTAGCTTTATTACTCTCTACAAGGTCCGCACACTATACAACATAGTCAGAATATATCATTACCAATAGAACAAAACATCACCAGGTGGCATTAGAAGATATGATCAACATTAGAACTGGACACACATTATCACATTAAGGATTTGCTTACCAAGAAAAGACAATGAAAAACCACTTAATAAATGGCATTGGAGATGGATCATCATTTACCTGAACTTCTAGCACATCAATTTTCCATATCTTGTTCTTCAAGTCAACCTACAACAGTTAAGCAAATGTTCTGTAGATAACTATGCTATCTGAGGTAAGTTGCTATAGCTCAGATAAACAAACAACTGCTACCAAACCAAGAAACAGAAAATCAATCAAAGAAACAATGATTAAAGAGACAACAGACCATAGCAACCAACAAGCTGACAACACAATTTTATGAACATGAAATAATTGAGATAATAAACAGTGTAAAGTGATAAAATGGAGAAATGAAAGGTTACACACAGAAACAATCATAATAAAACTCAGATAACTGTGAGGATATGAAAAAATGTATGATAACAAACCATTAGATTAAGCTGATTGTTAGATACAAGTAATAAACTACTATCAATCAAGCAAACACTCCATCATGAGAAATGATTTAACAACAAAATCACAAGAATAAAATAAACCTTTAAAATTTTATTAAATATCATTTAGCACATGAACCATACATAATGAAGGAGTTTGAAAGACGATACACCATCAAGTTTTAATTTATATCACTCTTTTAATGAABCTCTAGTTTAGAAATAATGTTCTCTCCTGTCAGAATAAGTATTCACGCTGTAAAGACTTTGTTGTTTTTCTTACAAACTCATCAATGAAGGGACAAAATGGATCAGCGCAATAATGGACCAATCAAGGATTGTCAATCTAAACAACCATAACCRACAAACAGCCAAACAAAATATAAATAACAAACTATACCAAAAGGAAAATAACACTTCATCTAACATGAGAAAACATTAAAACCAAGAAAGAAAAAGAGTTCACCTGACACCTACACTAATCTAACAGGAACAAGCTATAAATACTACCAAACAAACTACTTAAATACTGGGAATATTTTAAAAAAGAGACATTTATGAAAGACAATGATTTATGTACAAACATATATTAAATATAGATTATGTATAAAAATATCATATATAGCAGTTTTATAGGATAGTATGATKGAGAAGTGGTTGATGTAGGATCAAATAACTATTTTCAAAAAAATAATCGATTGAAAGGGAAGAAGGGGTGTATGGGATCAAGCAACCAAGCRAGTAAGAGCAAAGAATAAATAAATGATGTAACAGGAACAAGAGTGAGATTGTAAAAAAGGAAAAGCCAACCATGAAATAAAGGAATAATGAAATCAAGAAAGAATGAMACATAAATGACATAAGAGTTTTCTATCTAAAAACTAATTGAATAAACTTAATGTTAAAGCAGCTAAAGATGTTCTAACTCTTAAACCTTTTATAAAATCATGAAAGATCTGACTTCTATGATATACAAATTCTAAGAACCTTTAGCACAAGTCTGWATATATAGGAGTATAAAAATCTAAATAACAATATTTTCAAAAGATGTCTATAAAGAATAACCAGTTGCAAATCCATTATAAATAAAGTTGAAATAGACTGCATTTTGTGAAATCTAACAGCCTGCAACTGATACAAACATTGTCATGTGAACTGGGGTCAATTTATTTCTAGCTGTCAACACCATGTATTGTCAAAAATAAYRGTGYACATTGGAGCCCTTCTGTATCTTCATCTTTAATTCTTGCAGCTTGGGAACACCCATTTTATCCCAGAGTTCTTAGCAGCCCATAGAAGGTGGGCAACAGATGTCTATCAACATGACCACTGGTCTAAGAAGCGATGTCAGCTAACAGCCTTGCAGTGAGAAAAATAAGACTAATGAGAACAGACAAGAGAAAGAAAAAGCAGGTTCTGCTCCAAAACAACAAAGAT